CTCTCAGACCCAGGATGTGCAGTGTTTAAAAGGCGGCATCATTCAGGTTTAATTGGACCTAATTTGGCTGCAAGAACGAAACTTGCTGGAAAGCACAGGAGATCAGCCGGGACTTTCACTTTAATATCTGATGTGAAATCACACTTAAATCTAGAAGCGCATGTCTTGTCTGACCACACAAAACAACAACAAAACTATCTAAAAAAGTAGATGTACACATAAAAAGAGGAGAACTAAAATTGAAATGATTTTATTTATATTTGGAAGTAAGAATTGCCCTGAGTTATAAAGCAAGATTTGTAACGCTTCTGCTTGAAAATTGTGGGAAACATGAAAATGACTGTTGAAATGGGGACATATTAAAGAAATTGAGTTTACATGCTGAGTATAGCTTGAGGCTCCCTAGAAAGCCTGGTGTCTCGGTTTTAAAACTGAAAGGGGAAATTTACACCACAGAATAATGATGAGATGAATAGAAAGAACCGAACAACACGATAATACTTCAAACTTTAACCCAAGTGACTGCCACATCCAATTTGAGTTCCTGAAACGTCCTTGGAAATTTAATTGAAACAGAAGTTCATCTCTTTTTTCAGCAGTCATAAAGATTTGTAAATCCACAGATGCAAAAGTTGATAATGCTGTAATACAAATAAGCCCATATTACAGGGGCATGTTAGTTAATCACTGCACATTAATCTTTGTCCGTTTGTTTTCCCTGGTGGAGGCAATGAACTCTTACAGAGGATTTGTTCTCATGAAAAGGGCAACTGTCAAATAACCACAATCCACTGTTTTGAGAAACATTGTGACCCACACACATTTAAACACCTAACTAATGGAATTTACTCAGCGTACAAGCTATATTTAGTTTGATGCAAATGAAAATACAGCACATTAAATAGGTTGGACCATTGTGTACCTGGGTGTTGATAACATAAAAAATATGTTTCAAAAAAATTAAACTATTCAATCTATTATGAAACTGTAGCTAAGAAGATACAAGCAACTCATCATATAAAATCGTTAAAATACAGTTAAGCTACAGTCGGTAGAACTGTTAACTATCAAACGATGCTACAAGGCCACTTGCTACAAAATAGCTAGTTGCTGCAACAGCAACAATATTTCAAAAGCAAATAATTCTATAATGCCAGTTTGCAGCTTTGTTTGTTACCCAACACCAAATGTACATAATACACCAATTGTGGATATGGAAATTGCTGCAAGATGTAGCTAGACAGCTTAGCTGATCCTCAGACCCTCCGATTTAGCCTTATTCTGTTGTAATTGGAAGTGACTTGTGCTTCTAGCTCCTCTAATCGCACTTCAGCGAAGAGTGTCCTGTCTAGTCACGAGCCTTTGAGCACAGCCCTCAGGTTCAAATACTCCATGCTAGAGGTGTGTGCTCAACCACACAACAGCCACTCAAGCTGGCTGCCTCTGGAAATGGCCTCCAGTTAAATAAGGAAACACTTTACATTATTAATTTCTCTGAAACTAAACATTTGCTTCTGAGACCAGTATGCATTAAGAATTGTAAAGTTCAATCAAGGATAAATCCACTGTGTATGGACAGTTGAATTTAAGCTCAGTAATCTTGAGTTCTAAGCAAATCATAATCCACTTATGACATACAAAACCACATCAACACAAATAAAGAAACATCATGTGCTGCTTGACCTCTTTAATACTGAGTCATAAGAAACTTGCTGTTTTTCTGTCTGGGATGCCATAAATGAGGAAGAATGAGATCATTAAGCACTGCTGATGAGGCCGTGTTTTGGGTGATGGTGCTTCTCTATTTTAAGACACAGACTATCACACTCAATCGTAGCCACCAGTGATACAGCACCAATGCGTGTCCTACTAGACAGAGAAGTGTGCATATAGTAGGACTGTGTGATGTGTAGGCATATTCACAGCGACATGGTTCTCCAGATTATAAAAACTTAATTATCTCGTTTAATTCCTTTGAAAAGATGAGGACTGCAGATCACCAGCATGCACAGTGTTTGTTGGTTAAGATAGTTGAGAACATCAGCATCAAAGCATGTGCATATAAGATATGAACAGAAATGAAAATTGTTCAAAAATGAATTAAATAAATGATTTCTATAACTATACATATACTAAATATAGTGTGTGTGTGTTAAAGGGGACCTATTATGCAAAATTCACTTTTGTAAGGTGTTTGGACATAAATGTGTGTTGGCAGTGTGTGTATACAACCACCCTACAGTGATAAAAATCCACTCACTCCTTTTTTTTTTAAATCCCCATAAATCATAAGCAGTGTCTCCCAACGACCTGTTTTCAGAATGCGGCTTTGGTGACGTCACTAAAGCCACAGGCCCCGCCCACGAGTGTTGACAGACATTGCCGTTTTAACTAGACCCGCCCTGATCAAGTTCACAGCAAGTTGTACACATCCGCCATTGCTGCACTAATGAGAATGTCTCCCAAGCGTTGAAGGTGTTGTGGCTGGATGTATTCATTCACATTCTGGATGTATTCATTCGCTCTCTCTATTTACTCCTGAAATCTGAGCCAGCCGCTGAAGACGAGGTGGGTTCATTTTGTCTTTGAAAAATGCTCCCTCAACTCTACCGAAATTTGTGTATGTACCTACGCACTTCTTATACTGTGTTTACTCAGCTCTTACAGTGATTTTCTGGAGTAAAACTGACACTTATTCTTTTGTGACATACAATAAACTTTATTAAACTCATCAGTATATTTTGTGTCATCATTCAGACATGGTCCTACAGCAGGCTTGTAGTAATAGTGGCTACAATCAATGACACATAGGTTGTACTGTAATTAAACTAAACTATACCTGTTTCAACTCCATACAGCATATATTCTCTGACTATGTAGGCATTATTGTCTATTGAGTCGAAATGAACACCGTTACTGTGAGTTTCTGTTTTGATATCATCTTTCCGTGAGTTGAGATTGTTCACTGAGCGCGAGCTGGTTAGGCTCCGCCCCCCTATGCCGTGAACCAGCAGCTCACTAGCATTTAAAGGAGACACACTAAAACGGTGCGTTTTTCTCAGCCCCAAAAAGTGACGATTTAAACATGCTGTAAAAAATTATCTGTGGGGTATTTTGAGCAAAAATTTCACATACACACTCTGGGGCCATCAGAGACTTATTTTACATCTCGTGAAAAGGGGCATAATTGGTCCCCTTTAAATGAAAAAAATAACAAATGTTTTTACAATATATTTTTTTTCAAATATAAAATGATTATTTTCAATTTTGGTTAGGAAGCAGCCGTGAAAAAAAAGCAAACGGGTCCCTATGCTTAATATAATCCCACTGATGATCAGCTGCAATTCTGATTTATTAAAATAAAAAGTACTACAAAACTACAAAATCCTTGGGAGAGCAGATGTAGAAAAAGTATCAGGAAATTATTAGTAATCAGAAGTTATCAAGAGATATTAAAAAACATTTGTACATAACCTAATTAATATTCATGAGCTACACCTTCATTTTGTCACACCATGAAATGGTCACCCTCACGTCTACATTAACCAACCAGAATTTTTAGTCAACCTTGCTTTTTGAACTGGAGCTCTAACAGCTAGTCCAGCAATAATTAGCAAAACTCAGCCTAGAGCAATGTGGATAGATACATGCTAGTGTAAGAAAGCTGGTCTTTTTCAAAAGGGCAGGCTTTCATTGCCTATGTCCTCTTCATCAGTCTGAATAGAATGTGCTGCAAAATAGAAAGTATTTATGCAAGAGCAGCACTGAAGCTCAGAGTGCCAGAGTGAATGGACTCCCTTGGAAACATGCATGCCAACTACCTGACGAGCAGGACCAAAATTGAATGTGGGTTTCAGTCACTTGATTCTTTCCCAATCTCTGTCTTTCTGATTTTGATTGGCAGGTCAAAGGGAATATTGAAGGGGTTTGTGGCCCTCGAGTCTTACAGCAGTGGGAATGTCACCCTTCATCTGAAAGGTCTGCCCATTCAAGAGCTGCCACTCGACGCTGAGATGCGTCACAAATGCTCTTCATTTCCTGCGATGTCTATCTTTATTGGTGGAGAGTTCCAACTGCGTGCCCCTGTGTGTCCCTGCAGCCGCTGATAAACAACACAAATTACCCTGCCACAATCAGACCTGTCCTGTCTTTCAGCTGAGGAAGAGAAGGGAAGTGGTCGGAGAGGGGGAAAAAAGTTGGTAGGAGAGGAAAATATGGACAGGACAAATAAAGTAGGAGATAGACTGAAAGAACAAGTCTAGACAGCAGACACAGAGAACAGCCTCTCTGACCTTACTACTGAGATAAATCTGGATGAATTAAGTGAATATGGCGTAAAATAAGCGTTTCTTTTTTTTTGTCTCATTGGCAACATTTAATTGAATTATTTATAGCAGTGATTCTTGACCCATTACAATGGAAAACTGTATTTGAAAAATTGGGCTATAGGCTAATAGGCCTAGGCTATAGGGTAAATTATGTGTCATGTTTTTGTGTCGTAATTATGACTAAGATGCTTATTAACACAAACTGGTGTTAAAAAAGTATATTTAAATAATTAAATCACAATTAATTTTATGATTTCAGAAGTTTTAAAAACTTTCATTAAACATTGTTAAGGGTGGGGTGGGGGTGAATTAAAAATAAAAACCTTTTTTCAATTACATTTGTTAAAAATGCAAGTTAAATCATTTTACTAAATAACATATGTATGCATAAATTATTTAATTAAAACTAAATAGAAACCGGCAATGGTCAACCATTACCATTAGGTGCGCTCAACACAGAACTGTGATGAAACGCTGTGATAACTACATAAAAATCAAGAGACATTCTGTTATTGAAATACTAATAATAAAAAGCTTTTACAGCCTTCACAAAGTCCTTAACTTTTCCCAGCACAGAGCACCATTAACTCTCCATGACAACAAGTCTGTAGGCGAGACAACGGTGCTTTGATTCCTGTTCATCAATGTTCATTCAAGGCCCATTTATCATACACTTCCCCATGGGTCCAAAAAAGACCACGTATACACAGGGCAGTGTGTGTGAAGCACAGATGGACACACACTCTCCATTTCCACTGGCACAGTGGGGCACGGTACTCACCCACAGCTGGTCGTCCACACCGGGAGGGTTCTTTTTAATGAAGGCGCCATAGTAGGTGGCGATGTTCCTGTGGTGAGAGTATTTCTTCAGCATGTTGATCTCAGCTTTGATCTCCTCCTCTTCCTCCTGTCGAAACACATGCAGCAGGGGATCATGGGATAGCTCACATTCCACTCTCTAGTAAAGCTTGAGGCCTGTGGGATCACTCTAGTGACCTATAATAAGGTCTGATGGCCCACTTACAGATGCAGGTGCTTTTACATGAAGTAGTGGGGGAAGGAGGGGAGAGAGCACAGGATTAGCTCTTGACTCAAAGAATTACATCTCGACTGGAGTGTCCCTCTAGGATCCCCTCAGGACCCCCAACTCAACGATCTCTTAAGAACAGTCTGTATGCTCCATATTTGAGCTAATGACAACTCTTCATCTGCTCTCTCGTTCACTATAGGTCAAACAGTAATTTCCAGGAACAACCCATCCTAATGATGATGGGGTTCCCACTCGGCTAATGAATTTCCATGAGTTTTCTAAAGTTTTAAGAATTGTTTTATAGGAGATTGCACAACAAAAAACTATTTCAAACCAATTAATTATTATAGATGCATGATACTGTATCTGTACCATATTTATTGCCTGACATTGGAGATTTAATTTATTGTTATTGTAGATGTTAGAAATTTAATTGGTTCATGTTTATTTCCTGTTTTAAATTTACCTTTACCATCATGTAATGCTCTCTTAAGTTAAGTTAAAACATTAATTTAATAACACTGTTAAATGTAATCTTTAGCAAAACTCAAAATGAATATCCATTTCTTACACAGTGCATGTTGTGATGCCTGAACTCACTTGTATCATTTAAATCTAGGAATGCACAGATACCACTTTCCAGAACGAGTCAGATACCGACACTTATTTTTAGTACTTGCCGATACCTGTATTTTCATAGCATTTTACATTTTTTTTAATATTGGGGAAGAGAAACCAAAAGAATATGAATCAAATTATTTGGCTTAGAAAATAGATATTTCCTTAAGTTATTTTCATGCCTAGCCTAATTATGCCTGTTAAAATGTATTGTAGGAGCTACAGTTCCTTTCACTGTTCATATTATGATCTATCATATTTTATCTTTAATTTAATACAGGCAGGGTTTCTGCAGGTATCTTCAAATTTAAATTTAACGCCTTTTTTTTTAATGCCATACATGACCCATGACGAACCACATATACAAAATGTATATATGGCACTAATATGTGCTATCAATCGATAATTTTTTTTTTTTACTTGATTAACCACATTTTTTTCTGTGATTAATCACAATTAAAAACACTTACATTTTTGTATACATTTAGTTTATATATTTTATAATGTATTAATTTCACAGTTAATCTCCAAATTAATGTAGAACCAACATAAAGACAGTATATTTCAAATACTTGTTTAATGGCATATTTTTATGAATGAAGGTCAGTATCTCCCCTCCCCGTTGGAGAAATATGCCTTTATTGTAGGTGTGTTGTCTTCCAACGCTTCCTACAAGATCAGGTCGGTAATAGTTCAGGTAAACACAGAGTACTGAGAAACACCTGCTATAAAACGATGAATTATTTACAAAATGTGAACAGTTATAGGAATGGTTTAGGACAAAACGCGATCCGAGGCGCTCGCGCTAATAATTTCTGTTCCACTCGCCTGTAGTATTAGCCACATACAGCAAACATCTCACTAACTGCTAGCTGGAAAAAAAACGCAGTCTCTGTAGACAGCCTAGGCTCCACAGACGGCAACAAAAAAAAAACTGGTCCAACCTGGACCACGAAACAGTGTTCCAGCCAATAACGACAAAAATGATTTGGGGGGTGGGGGGTTAGTACGCGTGCAACAGAAGGGAGGGGACGAGATGAGGAGGAGGGAGGGTCAAGCTAGCCTCCGTTTTGTTTGACAATACTTCTATATATATATTACCCACGGCAATGGATCTATGAGTAGCCGACGGATGTATTCCGTCAAAATGGCTGACACGCGGCTAGGGGTCACGTGACTGGGAGATCCCTATACGTTTTGTCTCCCGCTTTTTGATTCTCGCGTCGCTTGAGCTGACAGGCGTGCTTTTGGTTGTCATGACAATGACGTAGTTTAGAGCGGCACAAGTTCGCGTTCATCCAAACAGTATCAGAGTCGCCTTTGATACTAGGGGCTGAGGTGGGTCAGACCTGTTATATTTTAAGTCTGCTTTTATGTGGCATTGCGTCTTTACACAGAATTCTGATCAGACACAGAGCCGCTTTAGAGCAGCCTTAATTCGGCTGTGTAAAGATGCCTTATTATAAAGAGGGATGCTAAAAGGTAATTAAGACGACGTCTACCTTAGCATCCAGAGAACTAATGAGGGGAAAACCAAGCCTAGAGGATATCTGGATTTAATAAAACGTCAAAAATAAGACTAAGCCTAAAATAAACCTGCGGATCTTAGCCGAGGACTCACTCAAGAGGTTTTGACATCTTGTCTGTGAAAGACCTCAACAGCTTCAGAGTATCATAAGAGGTCAAGATGGAAAGAACAATGAAAATAAACTCACCCCTGTGACATCCATGCACTTGATAGCAGCCAGTTGACCTGTTTTGACATGTCGGCCCTAAAGAGAAACAAACATAGGTTGTGCTTAGGTTCAAGACATTTGGTGGAAAAGGTTCAAAACTTGGAATATTGTTGTGACTTCATTTTGCCTGTAAAAAAAAAAAAAGAAAAAACCTAAATATTAATTTAATATATTTAGGCTATAGCATCAAATATTCTAACTCTGGACATAACAAACAAGCAATAATTTCAACTCAAGAACACAAATTATGTCCTTAGAGAAGAGTGGTATGCTGGAATACAGGCAAAAAGTCATGAAATACTAAAATAAGGCTGTTGTTGTCATGAACATCATCTTTAACGATCATGTTTAACCAATTCAATTTTGTTTTCTTAAAAATCTTTTATCATCTATTAATCTTGTTTTTTAAGCACCTAATCTGAAAATAGTTGTTGTTTTTTAAATAGCTGGACTGTCATGCACACCTCATACCACCACTATGTGATTTCTGTCTATTTAAAGGCACTGATAAATACAGTACTTCCATTTTAAACGCAAGGACTTTAAGGCATGTTAAGTCTGTAATAATGAAAGTACTGACTTGATATCCATGCTGTTTTTCAGCTTAACTATAAACATTAGCACAAGGTACAATACAGTTCAAAAGTTGAGTTGGTAATTTTTGTATATTTTTGAAATTAGGCTCACAAAGGCTGCATTTATTTGATCAAAAATAGAGTAAAATAAGTAATATGAAATATTATTACCATTTAGAAGAACTGTTTTCTAAATTAATTAATTTTAAAGTAAGAAGAAATTAAGAAATGTATTCCTGTGATGGCAAATCTGAATGTTCAGCATCATTACTGGGTTTAACTGTTCTAAGTATTTTGGTAACACTTTATTTTAGTGTCCTTGTTACATAAGTTGCATGTGCTTACCATAGTAATAACAGTAAACTATGCATATTTACATGCAACTAACCCTCAACCAAATCCTAATCCTACCCTAACCCTATAGTAAGTGGTACATGTACTTACTTAATATTACTCAGTAGCTACTTAAATATATAATTACACAAACAATGACACTTTAAAATAAAGTGTAACCAGTATTTTTTTACAGAGAAAAAAGCAAGCAGTGGATTTCCTAATGCAGGAACATGTGGTATGTCTTCATCCTCATCATGTCCACATCCCCCCTTTGCTTATTATGAATAAATAAGGGGAAGTAAACCGAGGTACCAAAGATGAAGATATATTGACAGTTAAATGTCAGAAGGAAAGGAAATCAGAATAGCCTCTGTAGAAATGCTTAGCCTGAGATGCAGGATTCAATGTAACAAGATGAATGTCCTTGACTATTTGTTGTAAGCCCAAAAGAGAGATTGCCAGGCAAATGACAAGACCACCTTAGAGGGCCCATTAATGGTCAGAAATTCAACTCATGCACAGTCCCTTACCACAGCACAATAACTGTAGCTTCACATACACACACAGAGAGCAGATGGGCCAGACAGTGCTGCTTTTCAAGGCCTCAGTGAATAAATTCAGCTGTCATTCAAAAGAAAAATCCAATCCTCTTTTCTTCCAAATTGAACATGGAGTTATTTTACCATCCGCAGGTGTTCAGCCATTGATTTCAATCCAAAACCTCAAGAACACACCGTCTACAACTAAACAAAGATACTACTCTTGACCTTGACAGAACTGGTTTCTAATAATAGATCATAGATCTAATAATAGACATAATATTCATTAATACATAATATTCTCACCTTATAGACACTGAATTGCACTGCATTGCATTATATGTGAGCTTCATGAAGTCAGTGCTTTCATAATCGCAATTCCATTCAGCCATTGGTCTTTGTGACCTAGATCTGCAGTAACAGCCCTCATGAATGGAGGATTATTGGATTTAAAAATGTATCTTATAAATGCTGTATACTTGAGTATATTTCTAGCGCTCTGACTCCTAACGGCATCGCTCAACACTAGGTTACAAACAGGAATAATAATAGAATCGCTCGCTCTCTGCCAGAGTAAACAGAGCAGGAATGAAAGAGGAAGGATGAAGATGAATAGCACTCGTTCCGTGACGCTCCGTAACACATGGGTCTGCTTCCTCCGATCCTACTCATGAAATTAAAGGCCACAAACTTCAAAAGCCAAAGGAAATAACATGGAATATATGAATGTAATAATTATTCAGATCTCTGAAACAGGGTATCAATGTACCATGGCATTACCATCACTGAATCATGGCACCACCACAGTACTTTAAGGCAAATTCAGATGGCATTCCTGACAGCAAAAAATTAAGTATGTTGCATGTTACATCAATTGCATCCGTGTGAAAGTTACCAGAGAAAGGCAGAGCTATAGCATTTCCTTCATAGACTTACTGAGTACATGAATAGCTCCCATAACAAACATGTTAGTGGGAGTTTACAGGCTCTGCTTGATGCGTGACTTACATTGCTCTTTGTCCTTTTTGGTTTCAATTCTCCTTGTCAGCTAGGTAAAATTATCTGCATAAAATGAGGTTGTGTAGAAATTGCAAGAATGATTGTGATAGGTTTGGTAAACATGGGTTGAAAATTACAATTTTCAAAAAAAATACAAATGTCATGTTTTGACTTATTTGCCATTATTTTTTAGTGAATGTTTATGAATTTATGACTGTCCTATACAATTATAATATTGTTTTTTTTTGTGCTAATATTCTTGTAAAGATAACATTTAATGAAAATAAATTGTATTTAAAATATTTACAGTAAAAAAAATCATTTATGATTATAAAATAAATACTTATATAAAAAATACTATACAAGTATAAATAGTACATTTAACAGACATACAATAAAAATAAGTGAAAAATAAATAGTAAGTCAATAAAAAACGTGAATCAATTCAACAACAAAAACATTGGGCAAGTGAAAACATTGGCAGGGTAAGTAGAAATATGCTTGAAATTAGGATTATTAAAAATTTATATAAATGATCTATTAAAAATAAAATAAATAATATAATATTATTAAACTTAAAATTATTCATTAAAATTAAGAAAATGTAAATAAAAATTATAATAGCAAAAGCACAATTAAAGGTGACCTATAATTCAAAATTGAATTTACCTTGGTATAGTCAAATAACAAGAGTTCAGTGCATGGACATGACATAGAGTGAATCTCAAACTGGACTGTTTTCGCGTTCTCATTTAATTCACGTTTATGAAAAACACCCCTGAAAAACGGTCGGTTCTCCACACAATACCGACTGTGACGCAATAGTCGGGATCATTAATATGTACGGCTCCAAATATTTGCATAATGCCAGCCCTCAATGCCAGGCGGAACTGCGCAGCCGAAGCATGGCAGTTGCTCAGTGTGGATGTACACATGAACACAAAAGTATTTTTTAGTTCCTTCATCTGAGCCTCTGAAGAAACAATGGGTTAATTTTATTTTCTCTGGAAATTTCCAAACGTTTCACCGAGTGTTTCCTCAACTTGGGCCAATACAGAGCTGGCCTCGGATCGAGCTACCAAGCAACACTTTCTGATGTGTAACAGTTAATTGTTCAAGTTCAGACAGGTAATCTTTCTCTCAAAATCGTTCAATACTGTTTATGCATCAGTAAGTCAAGCCAGTGACTAAAATATCAGCTTCACATCGTTTCTTTTAGTAGGATGAAAATAATCGTATTTAAATTGTGAACAAATTATATACAGAAAGCGATCAAAGAACAATCTTTCCACACAGCGCGAGTTTATCTGGACACTTGCCAAACTCGTTATGAAATCAATGACGCACGTTACTGCACAACGAAGCTCTTACTGTATTTACATCATCGTGTTTGCATTGGGGAAAGCAGAGAGAGTGCAGAAACTGCTTTGCAATGATAAGATCTTCATTCTCACGATCAACAGACTGTCATCTGCTCAATGCTCATCACGGCAACATTTTATGTGATGGGAATAGATCTAAATACTTTAAAAACATCTCACGATTCGTTAATCTTGATAGCTGTTATAGTAAAAGCGTATAATAGCAGTAGTAAAAGTATTCGGGAGAGAGTTTCACATGTAATGCGTAGCTATTTCATATGCAAGCATGTCAGCCAATCACAGCAGTGGCCGCGGTTACACTGAATCCCACAGCAGACACGCCCCTTCAAACAGAGTGTTCAAATCAGAAGCTAAAAGCAGGCTAGGAAAAATGCCATTTATTTCTAAATTATGAATATTTTTTATCTAAAAAACATACTAACATTATAAGGGTAACCCAGGAAACATTATAAAAAAATAAAAAAAAACATTCTAGGGCACCTTTAAAGCACTGTGGCTAAAATTATGAAAAATACATACAAATAGAGATAATATAAATAAAGGCACTAATTGAACATTCAATCTCCTAGTATTGCCCAAATTAGCAACAGAGACCAGATATTAAATATGTCATCATGAGGCTGCCATAACAGATTTCCAGTTCGTTTCTGCAGTTTCAGTGACAGCCAATTGCAATTTGCCTACAGCGCAAACGAAGCCATCTGCAGATGAATGTTGCCGTTCGACAGCAACTCACAGCCTTACTCTGCAGCATTACATGTTTGAGCTAGCGAGAGGACTACAGACAAAGGGCTCCAGGGGTGAGATGACAGGAATCGCCCGCAGTGTCAGGGAAACAACTGGGTTTAATGAGATAGCCCAACTGTTTGAGATGCAGGAGAGAAGCGCGAGTCTCTCCTCACTCCATTCCCACTGAAACCAATTCGCTAGTGGCTTCTCCGCATGGCTGCAGAGGCGCAGTGCAAGGTGAGCGTTTCAGATAAGACTAAATTGACTCTTTGAGCGCTCTTTCGACTGGCCTTGGATTGCTGCCACCGCCAAATCGCACCAGTGCAAACTTTTGCCCTCTCAGGCAAGCACAGACTACAATAAATTTGGAAGATACTAAGAACAGATCTACAATTGGAAAATAGAGCTGCATGGCTATATTTAGCTAATATTGAGCATTGAAACACTGTCAAGCTTATTCAGTGTTTGCAGCAGTG